CCCCTCGTCGCTCTCCTTTCTCTCCTTCCGCTTCTTTTCCAGTCCAGTCCCATCTCGCTTGACTTTCCCTCTCTCCTCTTTTTTTTTCTCTCTCCATTTCAACCGCGCACAGACACACGCGCGCATAGGCACACACATGCTCCGCCTCACCCCACCGAACGTGCAGGCGCGTTTCCAGCGCGTGTAACTTACAATCGTGTTATCCCGGTTGGATTTTTACAAGCGCGCGCCGCCATGCCGGAAGAATCGGTCGTGGAGCCAAGGGAAAACTAGGTCGAGCGTACTGACGTCAATTTTTCGAAATGATGTTATAGACGCTCGCTTTTGCCATGCTCTTTTTACCTCTCTCCCTCTCTCTCTCCCCCCCTCTCGCACACACACGTTTCTCTTCTCACCGGCTCGCACGAACTTTCCTCTTTTTCCTTCTCCCTTTTTCTCCTTTTTTAATTGCTACTGGCGGGACGGCTCGCCAAACCGCACAAAGGGAACACGAGAAGGTACGCGTGGATGGGATATAATTATGCTTGGTTTTATCATGCGGATCATTAAGGAATCGTAAATGTACGCGTGTTATTGGAACGCCCCGTTGCGCTTTAATTATGTTAGATGTTTCATACGTCTTCTCGATGGGCTCTGCACGCGGCTCGCGTCGACCACGCGTCGCGACGCCTCCGTGAATAGGTGACGCGATCTTTCTTAGTTATCGCGATGCACCTGGTGCAACGTGGAATTCGGTGAGGGTGTTATTTTAATATCGTTTCGAATATCCTTGCGAATTTAATTATTCTGGGATTACGTGATATTATATAATTTCTGGATCCAAATTTTTCCCTGCTGTATAGTGTAATGGCGACATGTTTATGGTTACCTAATTCAGTATGTAATTCTCTCTTTTTTTTTATTTTTTAATTTTGCTTGTGCACGCGTGCAACGGAATTTGGTAAATAAATTTTTTTATACAATGGAGATATTTGTGCACAGTAGAATAGCAATAAATTATACTTGCGAATTTGCTAGGAAGTATTATTCTTAATGAAAATATTCCTCGCGCTTAGGGTGATCCTATGTGAGGAGTAAAAGTAACGAATAATAATAAAATACCGGGAATTTTTCGAAGGATTAAAGGAAAATTATATCCACCGACGGTAATCGAGATGTTGGAATAAAACATAGAAATGAAAAAGGGAAACACGAAACTGTCGCGTGGACATCATCTCTGTGCAGCGAAACAGAGTGACCAACCCTGTTTCACGATTCAGCTAATACCCTCGCCCGAAAAATCGTAGTTCCAATAACAGCATGGAATCACAGCAGCGAGCCGCGATCTCCATATTAACTTGCCGGCGTTCTGAACCCGGTGGATCGGGCCGATCGGGATCGAAATTCCGAAAAGGGAAAAAATAGCGAAGAAACGAGACATCGAGAGGGGGTGGGAATAAAATAAATCGATAAAGACGTGGGAAAAAGAAAGGAATAATCGACGTAGTGGCCATTTCATCGGGTTCGACAGTTTTCAGCCACTTAGCCCGTTCGACGCGGAGAATAACCGCCGCTTAATGCTCCGCCCGGCGCGGTTATTAAAGAGGATTACGGCCTTTAATAATCCCGCTTTCGCAAAAATTTCGCAACGCTCTCGAATTACCTTCGCGACGGCCAACCAGCGTGCTCGGTCTCATTGTTTTGCCGACCATTTGTTTCTGCCTGGTGTAACGTTCGCGAAAATGGAAGCTCGTTATTACGGCTCTCCCCATTGTTCCCGTGGAAAGAGGCAGAAACTACGCTGGAGAGGGAACGGGAACGTTCGAACCGAGCTTCGTTTCGAATTTTTTCCCTCTACCTACTACCCCCACTGGCCTATACCGCCTCTCAGCCCCGTGGAAATCTCATCGGACACTTGTCGCCAGCGACGTTTCGCAGGGTGTCGTGGGCCGTGCATTATTAGATTTACCCGCTCGAACCACGCGAAAGGGGTTGGTCGAACGGGAGGAACCCTCCGCGCCGTGTCTCTGGCCCCTACGGCGAACAATCGCCTTTTTAGCAGCGCTCTCCGAGGGATTCCACGCAGACCCTGTCTAACCTGTTTGCTCGCGGCCCAAAGGATGCATGGACAGAGGGAAAATCGGGAGGATTTTAAAGTAATGATAATGGATTCTGTATTGATAGGAATGCACGATGAGATTCGTCGGAGTCTGTTTGTGTGCCCGAGGATTGATCGAAGTTGGAAATTAAACGGGAAGCGGCGGAAGGAGGGGTGGGTGTCTTTCGGGGTTGTTTTTGCATTTGTTTGGGGGGTGGGTTGCTGGAAGTGAATTTGATTTCAGATGAGAAGATGATGGTTTGTTCGTTGAGAGGGAAGCGGAAGTTGGTTTGTTGTTGGGTGATTGCGAAGTATTGTTGGAGGGGTTTGTAAGGGCAGTAGTAGTGGATAGGACTAGTCAGACGGCTTTAGCTTTGTCCTTATGCGTCGATCGGTGCCTAAACGCTTCTACTTCGAAAATTTTCTTCTCGATCCTGATCCTATATCGATTTTTCATAAGAGAATAATTTTCTTGTGATTTTCTAAACTAGCTTTACGCAATTTTCTCATCTTCGTTACTAGAGATAAATCCAAATAATAAATTGCTAGTTAATGTTACTATTGCAACGTGAAAAATTAAAACGATATTAAACAAAAATATATCTCGTATATTTCGAAGTTATTAAAAAATTATTACATAAATTTATATCGCATATTAGCAACGATTCTTTGCAAATATTAAGATATGGCAGTGCGTATGAAACGTGGAGCATCAAAAGCACGGAAAGTCAATCCAGATACCGGGATATCAAATTCGGAAAAATAATTCAACTTTCACAAATTAGAATTTTCGTTGGAAACTCGGCGTGATACGGATGCCGCGTCGGGCAGTCATTTTTCAAATTCATTCGCGAGCTTTTCAGACCAACGATCCAGTTACTGATATTTGGTCCAATTCGTCACGCGATATCACGTGTTTTCCTCTCTCCCTCTTTTTTTTTCTTTTTTTTTTCTTTTTTTTTTATTCAGCACGGAATAACAGAGATTTTTGACGGATACCGTTGACGGGGTTAATTAGAATATTCCTATCCGAGTCGTATTAATTGCCTGTGATGCAATCTAAATGGGTGGTAATGGGAATCGCGGCGTTGCAATTACAGTTCTGTAATGGACCGTCGCGACTAGAATTAATTTGAGTTAATGATTATCAGGCCGCGATAAAACGAAACGGGTGAGTGTTAGAAGTGCATAATCGTTAACGGATTCGTGCCCGTGCAACTGATAACGCGGCAACTGTAATACGAGTGTTAATTGCCAGTTTAAATCAGCTTTAAATGGAAATTCAGCGGGAATAATGAATTCGATTTGTCGTATATTTTATCTTAATTCCGTATTATCCCGGATCATGCTACTGTTTATTCAGTGTTGGAACCAAGGAACGCCGCTATCCTTTATAAATACGTTACACGGGAATTTCCTTTGCTAATTACGGGATGAATAGGTTAAAATATAATCGTAAAATGAAGGATAAAACATAGACGATATTTCCATCATGAGAAACTTATAGCCAACATGTTCCAAAAATATATATATATACACTTTGCGTGATTATAAAAGCAGTATATAAATAAATAAATAAATAAAAAATAAGTTAAATAGAATAAGGTATTAAAATGTGTATACATTTTTGTGGGACACCCTGTACATATCGGCAAAATTGGCTAGCAATGGTAGAATTTAAATTTCCAAAATTTATTTCTTATACAAACGCTAGTTATCGAAAGGAGAAAAGCTTTCTTTCTCCTACTATCTTCAATGTCATCCCATACGTTCTACCGATCGTCATCTTGCGACTTGCCAAAGAGTTAAAGAGAAACCCTTCGAAAAGAGGCATCGGGATTAAAACGAGTCGAAGGAAAAGGGCCTTTCTCTCCGGGATTGGTTGGCAGGAAAAGCAAAGAGGAAGCCGCGGCAACCATCAGGAAGAATTTCTCGAGCAGGTTTTCGATTCGAAGAGGGCCTCCGCAGCGGCGTCCTCGGCATCAACCCCTTCTCTTCCTGATGCGTGCACCTTTTTCCCAAAGGCGACCCCCAGCAGGAACGAGAACCGGAGGCTGACCGGTCCAGCGGTCCACGATAGAGGAAAAGAGACGGAAGGAAGAGATCCTTGGAGGGACGAAGAATAATAGTCCGTGGGGGTCAAGCAGAGTGGGGAAGGACCACCAGCGGCTCACCGCGATTTCGGCAATTTGAACGCGAGTTAGTTGGTCCGCAATCATCACCTAGCAGAGTGCAATACGAGATCCGGCGGAAGTGCAAGCGAAGTTGCGAGAGGCAAGTTTCGTGTGCCCGTGAACTGTGCGAAAATCGGGAACGAGGAGCGTTCGAGTTTGCCGAGCTGCAGAGTTTCGCTCTTCCTGTCCACGTGCTGCCAAAAGTAACCCCGATCTTTAAATTGGAACTCTCCAAGGACCCTGGAAACCCGTGCCATTTGACTCTGTAACTGGCAGAGTGTTCGGGAAGCGTGTAGATACAGGCGTGTTATAAAATCCCTGCCTGGTTAGCGAAGAGGAACAGAGATAAAGTTGGAAAGAGAGGCAGAGCTAGCTCTAGAGCGGGAAACGCGCATCGAACAATCGGCCGTTTCGTTTTCGAAAACTCGCAATCGGTATCGCGGGGCGCAATAATTTTTCTCGTCGATTCGCCGAGCCATCCGTCAATCGAGACAAAGGAAGCTCCAAACAATAGACAGATACGCGGGGTGGGCCCCGGCCGCCTCGATGTGATGTCGGGGATTCCACGCGAAAGAGAATTCGGAATACGACGATCGAACGTCCGGACCCTATTGGCAGGTGATTGATATGTTTGCCATTTGCGCGAGCTTCCCTTTTTCACCTCGCACTGAGGATACGTCCGAGGCCGTGGACCGGGTACGCGACTTCGTTGTGATATGGATGGTTACAATCATGCCTGGTATCACCAGCATCATCATCATCATCATCAACATCAACATCAGACGCATCTGGAGCAGCAATACCAGCAGCAGCAGCAACAGTTCCAGGCGCGGCAAGGGCAGCAGTACAGTCAGCAGCCCTATCAGCATCATGCGCATCATCAGTATCCGCAACAGTATCCGCCGGATTATCTCTATCGGTTCTCGTTGCAGGTAAATAATGTTCCGTCGGGCACGAGTGCCACGGCGATCTACTAAACGACTATGTTTTCTTGAGACTGATGATTAAATGGAAATGCCGCGCGATCCCGTCCAGCTGGGCTCGGATACAATCGAATATGTGTCCGGAGATGGGGTTAGGCTTGACGTTTCTTCATCTATACGGTGTCCGCAAACTGATTAATTTCGAATATCAAAATATAGGCGTATGTTATATACACGTCGAAACGGATATTGAAATAAATTTTTCAATCGCTGGATTAATTTTCCTGTAACGAAGAAGTCGTCGAGTGCAAAGGGTTAATTTCGAATACCAGAATATAGGTATATATTATATACACGTCGAAACGGATATTGAAATAAATTTTTCAATCGTTGGATTAACCATTTCGTTAACACTGGAACTACCAACCCAGTCAAAATGACTGGCTCCAGAATTTTCCTTTTTACAATCACCGAACACATACACCAATAAAATTGGTATCAACTCGTATTAAGGAAGAACTGTAATCCATATATTCACTCATATTCATCGTACCGCTGAAATTACTATAATCTATGCACGTTATAGTTAGGTACCCATTAAAGATCGGTAGTTCTAGTGTTAACCCTTTGCACTCGAGACGTGACTCTCAGTCACCATTTAATCAGATTCTAAAGATCGACGTTAATTAATATATCAAATTTAAAATTATCTAACGATGCGTGGAATGTCGAAGAAAAATAATTCTACGTCTTAATTTGCATATGATTTCTCATTTACCATTTTAAAAATATCGTCCACTCTATGACAGAAAGTCTTCGAATTACTATTTTTCTGTAACGAAAAAGTCGTCGAGTGCAAAGGGTTAATTTCGAATACCAGAATATGGGTATATATTATATACCCGTCGAAACGGATATTGAAATAAATTTTTCAATCGTTGGATTAACCATTTCGTTAACACTGGAACTACCAACCCAGTCAAAATGACTGGCTCCAGAATTTTCCTTTTTACAATCACCGAACACATACACCAATAAAATTGGTATCAACTCGTATTAAGGAAGAACTGTAATCCATATATTCACTCATATTCATCGTACCGCTGAAATTACTATAATCTATGCACGTTATAGTAAGGTACCCACTAAAGATCAGTAGTTCTAGTGTTAATACACCCATTAATTTGCCACTTATTTGATAATTTATTTCATTTCCCGAATTTGAAATTGCAACCTGTGCACATCGTAGAATTACCTTAGATATCTTTCAAAAATCTTGATAGTCTGCAAAATATCCTATTTCATACTCGAGAAGAAGTGAAGATTCGAGAGAGTAATTCGTTCGAGTAGTCAGTCTCAATTGAGCAAATCTTGAAGTTTGTCGTAGATTAACCAGAGCTTACAAGTTTTTCAAGTATAAATGTTTTTTAAACGAACGAATACGTATTTAACCCTTTTGCTCCTGAATTATGAAGAGAGTAGCAAACACCCTGTCCTGAATTAATTTAACAAATTCGACAAAATTTCTCTCTTATCCTAAGAGATGGCAGGACACGTTGGAACAGTTGGATTGCGTCCAGAAAAAATTTTCTAAGCTCTATATATATTCTATATTTTCTAAGCTCTATAATATATACATATTATAGCGTGACGTCATACAACGATACGATGATAATTTATATCTTCTTTAGATCATCTATAATCATATAGGAATTGCATAAAAGATTCCAAAGGTCGTCAATTCCATGTATCAGAAAATTATTCAGAAATTGCACAGGTACAAAATTCTAGGGTCTTCTATATCAGACTTCAGAATTTTTATAAGATGATAATTTATATCTTCTCTAGATCACCTATAATCGTATAGGAATTGCATGAAAGGTCCCAAAGATTGCCAATTCCGTGTATCAGGCAATTATTCAGAAATTGCATTGATACAAAGTTCCTGGATCTTGTATATCAGACCTCAGAATTTTTATACGTCTGAAAATTTTGCAAATTTAATTTCGATGTCCCGATATGTCTCGCGAAATTTCGCAACCCCTATATATCTACGCGAAGCATTTCAAAATGATGTACATAGTACAGTAACAGCTTGAAGAAGCACGTAACAGGAAGTAGAAGGCTTTCATGCACCCTGTACCATGATAATACATCAAACGCTATCTCGGCGTTGACGGTTCTAGCGATGCTGAGGAACCGTCGAAAGGTCTCGCGAGAAACAATGATTGGAAAGGTTTTCTCGAAGATACTCCTTTAAGAACCGCGAGGGCGTTGCTCGATAGCTGGAACCCGGCACTTCCGAATCCGTGGGACCATTTATCACGACAACGATATTTCTTACGAAATACCGTAAACGATTTTCGAGATCCACCATATATATTCCTTATCAGGCCGGGGCTAGCGTCGGGCCGGGAATTAATCAAACCCCGGTGAACGTGCAACGTTCGCAAACGCGCCATGCCCGCCGCGATTTTGCAACGTTCGTTCGACACATCGCCGGCATGAACAACCGCATATCGAGCCGAGCAAATGAGCGAAACGCGGAAAGGGGACGCGGATAGATGGACGTGCAGACGGATACATCGGTCGTGTCACGATTCACTCACCAAATGATTTAACCGTGTCGCGGACCGCCAACATAAACGCGCGATTTCGATGAAACCGATTTTAAAGGCATTTCAGCGCAGTCACTGCTTTCCATATAATTCGCCGGATTATCGCTGCGATGTAATGTCTTTGTACGTTTTGTTATTCGCGAGTGATGGAAAGGTTTAATTGTTCCTTCGTTCGCTAAGGATGCAGGTATTAAATTGACGTATGATCGAACTGCATTCGATGTTCCAGGTTGACTGATGTATTTTAATTTTCAGGCATCTGTCGTGATAATTTAGAATAATTTAATGGCATTGGAAAAATTTTTTAATAGAATTGAGCTTTGAATAGCAGGGTGAAGTATACTCCTGTTACTGGATCAGTTGAATTAGAATAGGGAATTTGTTTCTGATCGCAAATTCATCCATTTACAAAAATTATAATTGGAATTCGAAATTATGATAAATCACGATCCTTTTTCTAACGATTTAAGAAATTTCCCGAAGTAGGAAAGATGCAGATCATCGTGTTAGTGGATTAGCTGAAATAAAATAGAGAATTTGTTTGGGATCGCAAATTCATCCATTTAAGAATATTATTATTTCCTATTCCCACAATTGGGATTCGAAATTATGATAAATCACGATCCTTTCTTTAACGATTAAAAAAAATTCCCGAAGTAAGGAAGATGTTGATCATCGTGTTAGTGGATCAGTTAAAATAAAATAGGAAAGTTGTTTTGGATCGCAAATTCATCCGTTTAAGAAAATTATTATTTTCTCTTTCAATAATTGGAATTCAAAATTATGACAAATCACGATTCTTTTTCTAATGATCACAAAAAGTTCCTGAAGTAGGGAACATGCAGATCATCATATTAGTGGATCAGTTAAAATAAAAAATTTGTTTCGGATCGCAAATTCGTCCGTTTAAGAAAATTATTATTTTCTATTTCAATAATCGGAATTCGAAATTATGATAAATCACGATCTTTTTATTAACAATCACAGAAAGTTCCTGAAGTAGGGAACATGCATGCAAGATCATCGTGTTAGTAGATCAGTTAAAATAAAATAGAGAATTTGTTTCGGATTGCAAATTCCTCCATTTACGAAAATTATTATTTTCTATTCCCACAACTGGAATTCGAAATTATGACAAATCATGATCTTTTTTCTAACAATCAAAGAAAGATCCTGAAGCAGGGAAGATGCAGATCATCGTGTTAGTAGATCGGATAAAATAAAATAGGGAATTTGTTTCGGATTACAAATTCCTCCATTCACGAAAATTATTTTTCACTCCAACAATTGAAATTCGAAATTATAATAAATCACGATCCTTTTTTTAACGATGAAAGAAAATTCCCCAAGGAAGGAAGGAGGAAGCAGATCATCAATTCGAACAACATATGTACCAATAACTAATTTAAATCTTAAAAATGTTCAAAAGTTGCTGACTAAAATCCCAGCACCTTGGGATTACGGAAACTCCGTGAAGACATAAGACCACGCGTAAACGGGAATAATAAATGCAGAGAATCACGAAGCATGGAGCTTAACAACGTCAGCCAGCGATAGAGTTCGTTAGCCAAAGCGGAGTGACGTGGCAGGGCGTGCCTTTGTCTGACAAATGGCCTCCAGCAGACTTACGCGTTACCTGTGCCCGAATTATGCTTCCGTTATCCCCTATGGTCGTTTCAGTGGTGTAGCTCAATGGCGAGAGCGAGGAACGCGCCTCTATCGCCGCGCCACGTCATCCGCCAAGTTATGATTCCCGCTAGAGAGGCTACCGACGAACGAACCAGACTGAATTTCCGTTCCAAATGCCACGGATCCGCGACCCTGCTTGTCGCGAATTTCTGACACGGAGATTCGAACTTGTCTACCCGTTCCCTGGGATTACGCGTACACCGGCTCCACGATGTCGACGAGCGTGGGGCTTTGTTTGTCGTTCGGTCACCGTTTTGTCCAATTACGTCCTCGTTGCCACCGTTTCCTCCACTTTCCAAGATTCCCTGCGGATTTTCCGCACTTACCTCGCAATTCGCCGGAATTCGTCAGACAATTGACAGATATCCTGTGTTGAGACGTAGAGCGAGGACAGATTGGGAGGTTGTCAAATTCTTCTGATCGGAATCGAGATATTTTCCTTTTCCTTCCTCTCTAGAATTTATTTTCGTATTTTTTGACAGAACGATGAGTAGCTTTCTTCGCTCAAAAAATTGTGGAATAGCAGTATCTTAATTCGAGTTATCGTTGAAAGAGTTTCTTCGTCAATTATTCAGTCCCCAGTGATTAAAAGTTGCCCTATATACATAGAACGATGTATCGAAATACGCTTTGAATTAAGGAACTCTGAAGTTGGAGACACGGAACCTAAACTGAAACTTCGGAAACCGAATATATTCGTACACGTATCGGCAAAGAGATGAAAAGTTTGATACAAAAGCAAAGTGG